TTTCCCTCTTTCTCCTTCTCTATATGTGTGTGCGTGTGTGTGTGTGTGTGCGTGTGCGTGTGTGTGTGTATGTGTGTGTGAGTGTGAGTGTATGTGTGTAAGTCTGTTTTGTGGAACTGTGCACATACAGACGAGGTTGTTTCTAACATCTACAAAAGAGATGTTAAGGCAAAAACGATACCAAAGCTCTTGTTAAGCTCCACACCAGACTTTAGACTTCTTCTCCTGAACAACACAACGATCATGCAAAATACATGGCTAAGGCAAATCTGAGTAAATATTTATGGATTTTTCAGGATTTCGTTAACTTGTCAACATTCCTCAGACGTCAGGCACACGAATTTAATGGAAAATCAAAGCGCAAATCTGCTCGTATCACGTCAAGCAAATCTTTGTAACATCGACTGAGTTATTCAACTTAATATCATTGTGTCGTTACTTCTTGTTTTTCGTGTCCTTTCAAGAGCTTTTCCCCCAGCTGTTAGATCGCTATTATGCTGCGAAAGATCCAACCAGATAGAGAAAATGTGAGACGAAATAGTGAGCATTGATTGTTAACCCTTTGACGTTAAAGAATCAAAAAAAGGGAATTAGTGCCACTTTGATATGAGCGCTCTGCAATCCTAAAAACAGTCTTTCTTCTTCGAGCTGACTGACAACACTGCATAGTGATGCAATTTAATGTTCTTCAGCCCGATCGACACCACTTTGACATTATAAATAACGGGGTGCTTCAACTCTGCCTGCCAAGCCCCACCAGAACTGAGTGGGATACAACATTCCGACAAACGGAGACACGTTATGTGGTTATGTAACCCCCCCCTCCCCCGCCCTAGAGAATTCAAATCTAGTCCTTTGCGAGCAAAGATGGGCCAAACCACAGAGCTCCTGCGGTAATACAACGTTTTGAGTAAACACAGTGAGCATCTCGAGCAAAAAGTTACTCTTTGCGTATTTTTCATGCTTGAAGACACGCTGATTTAGAGTACTTTAACAAATATCATCGTCATCGTCAAGTGCCAGATTTGCGACAGAAATCGGTAATCATGGTTCTCTGTTTATTCTTTTGCTCGAATGCTCCAAAAGAAAAAAGCAATATTTCCCTGACCTCCCCAATCCCAGTCACCCATCAGTTTAGGCTCTCCAAGTAGGTTGCTGTAGGTATACCCTGTCTTGTTTGTCTTTAGTTTTTTTCCAGTGAGAGCTAGATGTTCAAGCCATCATGTCTATTTAAGTGTCCCAAAAACTGCATTTGTTTCATGCACGTTATGAAATATTCAAAGTTGAGTTTTTTATTTGTTTACGTTGGTTAGAAATGTGCCATCACATTGCCTGTTATCCTCTGTAGATCAGACATTATAAATTATATGTGAGGCAGCGTGGTGGAATCAGGCTCTCGTCAAAATAATCAAAGTGAAGAAACTTGCATTTTTCCGCAGGTTTGGGAATTTTTATCAAATTTTTGTTTCTTGGCTCAACACTTTTCATGCCCATTCATTAATGAAGTCATTTCTGTGTGGATTTTTCTTAAAAACGTTGATTAAAGGAACAAAAAAAGTAAATTTTCAGTTACCACGGACTCTTAAGCTAAGGAAATAACTAATCATTGGCTGCCATTTTCTCACTAATTTTACCTCTGAAAACAGGTGACCCCCACCTCCTTCATTCGCAAATATCTCGACTTCTATTCAAGATAAATGAATATTTTTTTTCTCATTCAAATAAAGACAAGTGAACAAGCTTTAAGGTGATACCAATAATTCCACATGCCCAAAAATTGACGAGTACCTGATTCCACCACGCTGCCTCACATATGTGTTTCCTAATTCCTTGAAGGCAAACCATTATAATGCGCTTTTATATTTGTGAAAGTAACGAAGACTGTACGACAGAATTTCATTTTATTTGTTGTTCTTCCAAGAGTTAGCAACGTCGTCTGAAGAAGCACAGTAAGGTTAATTATCCACAAGACCTATAGCGAACTGGTACGGGAGGGTTAAGGCAAAAAAACTACAAGATGGTACGGGCGGGTTCATGAAAAAGAGCTACAACAAGATGGTAGGAGAGGGTTAATGTACGAGTACAAGAACAACAGCGAGATGGTTTTGGGGAGGCCCGCCCAGTCGACACCAGTCGAACCTCGGATAACCAGAGATAGGAGAAGCGAACTCTGCTCTTCTGTCGACTGTCGACCACCTCACCCGTGTCATATATCGACGGCGCACGGCAGATGCCATACAAATCAATGTGGCTCTCGTTTGAGACTTGTTTGAGATAAGAGAAGCACGTCAACACATTAACGGTCACTTAGTGCATGAAAATAGTTCGACAGGCAGGCAGATAGAAACAAACAGTAAGAAGAAAAAAAAGGACCTACCAGTGACTACTTATAACAGTGGTTGGTTTTTTTTGGTTAGTTTGTGTGTTTTTGTCATTCTTTTCTGGGTTGGGGGGGGGGGGCTGTTTGTTTAAGTACTGGGAAGTACACCCACAGCATAACAGCTATTTAGTGAAGGTGAAAATAAAGACAGACAAACAGAAGCAATACCCAGAAAAGAAAAGGGTAGACGCTAACAGTGACGCCTTTCAACCACCCACAAGGAGCTGGGAAGTCGACGTAAGATATTATTGTTGACGTTGAGTTTGTGCTTTTGTTTGTTTGTTTGTTATTTTATTTTAATTAGCTTTGTTTATTTGAATAACGAGAAGTATATTGACACAATAAAGAGTACTTTGTGATTAGGAAAAAGTAAGACAGAAGGACAGAAATACAAGAGGGGTAAAAAGAAGGACCAGCTAGAGATCCCCTCCAGCCTCCCACTGCACTTTTGACACTCAGTCCACCCGACAATAATAACATTTGGTGAAAAAAACATAATATTATGACAATGGTAAAGTTGCAACATTAAAAGAAGGACAAGAAGCATACCACACCAGACCACCTACAAACCGCCCGCTAAAATACAAGGAGTGATGTTTTCTCTGAAGCAATATTGATACTAAGGATCCTGAAGAGGGGAAGGGGGAGCAGAGATGGACATGTTCCGACTGCAGTGACCCCAACATAGTGGACAAGTAAGACAAGTAAGCAAGTAAGTAATATATTAATACCCC